TCCTCCAGAGTACCAAGCTTAGAGCCGATGACAGACTCAGCCTTTTTGATGAGTTTATTTAGTCTGTTGGCATCCTTTGCTTTGATTCCCGCGCCCCAACACACCACAGCAAAGAAGATAGTACTCGCAACAATAGTCTGATCTTGAGTATCCTGTTGCACACGTTGAGAGACCTGAGCTTCCTCAAGAAATATAACCGACTCAGGCCCTTCTTGTAGACAGCCTCCGTATTTGTAGACCACTCCAACTTGTTGTCCAACTCGACTCCCGAGTATTTGTATGTTTTCCAGAGGCGGACAGTAACTAACCAACAAATATAATTCCAATTTGCATCTCTGAGCAAGATGACGGTGTTTCATTCCTGAATGAATCAACCGTTTAAATGATTAGGTTCAATCGCAACGACTCACTTATTAACAGTGACTTGCTGCCACCTACTGGCGGTTTTAATTTCATATTAAATGTGAGAATTTAAAAAATATCTTTTCATTTAAAAAAAAAAAATCAAATATCAGTATTCAACAGTTTGTTTAAAATATCAAAAATGTATTAATGCATTTGTAACTGCAGCTTTTTGATGAGTTTATTTAGTCTGTTGGCATCCTTTGCTTTGATTCCCGCGCCCCAACACCACAGCAAAGAAGATAGTACTCGCAACAATAGTCTGATCTTGAGTATCCTGTTGCACACGTTGAGAGACCTGAGCTTCCTCAAGAAATATAACCGACTCAGGCCCTTCTTGTAGACAGCCTCCGTATTTGTAGACCACTCCAACTTGTTGTCCAACTCGACTCCCGAGTATTTGTATGTTTTCCAGAGGCGGACAGTAACTAAGTACATTTACTTGAGTATTGTACTGCATTGCAAAGATTAATTTTGTCAATACTGATTTAATTTGCTTGATAACAACCCAAATTACTTATAATATTTCACAATAACACACTCAGCAAAATGTTGTCTAATTATCGTTATCGATAAAATCCCAGAAAATATCGTGATATATTTTTTGTCAATATCGCACACCCCTAATATATTTAACGTTTTGTTTAGGAAAAAATTTAAATAAATATGAGAGGTGCCCTTTTTTCCACTCGAGCCCCTGCCCCTCAAAATGTCTGTGCACGTCCCTGGGTCAGATGTCTATTGAGTCAATTACTGTTATAACAGTCTCACAGTTTGAAGAGAATCTCACCTGAAAAATAACACTTGAATGGCACACACATTTGAAGAACACTCTATCGCCATCTACTGTGATTGGTTTCTGTTTGTGTATCAGGACGATGCACTTGCAATGTGTCTGCTAATCAACGTGTCTGTGATCATGTAATTGACCCTTTGCAAAGACCCGCTCCCCCTTAGTTACTGTTGCTATGACAGACAAGCCATGGCACTCTCACACCACACCTCATGTTCTCACGCAGTGAAAAATACATCACGGAGCAAAGCGGACACTGACAACACGCCAACAGACAAGAAAGAGCAGATTACGCTTGGTATGAAACAAAGTCTCGGCTTTCAAATTTTGTGATTTTTTAAAAGAAATTCAAACAATAAATTAAATTGTATTAACAAAATTCAGAAGCAGCACACTCAGATAATTAACCTAATTAACAAGTTAAGAGGTATATATACACAGCAGACTTCTGTTCCTTGACAGTTTTCTAGCATCCCTCCACCACCCCATCTCCTCACTTCTAACTATTCCTATGTCAACTGAGGGTACTCTGGGTTCGGGGCAAATTCCGAGCTCGGAGCCCTCGCCTCAGACAGCACGTGAAATACACATAACCTTTACTCTATTTATTACATGTAAGTGTGAACTCGTGAAATACCATATTGTGTCTCTTTAATGTGTTGTGACAGATTGCTGTAGCACCTCAGTTCAAGCGTCACGTTGCCATAAAAATTTACTGAAGGCGAGTTCTAAAGAACCCATGTGCAGTTTTAATGAAAAACGTGATACAAAAACAAAATAAAACATGACTTAAACAATTTCCTGCTGATTACAGAACCGGCTTTACTAACAAAATGCGCATCACAGTCACATTCGATTAATCGTGCAGCCCTAATACATATATATATATATATATATATCAAACAATGGGGTCACATGCCACAATCCAACCAATGAGAACGTAACACATACAAAGGAACCAATGACAACAAGACACATGAACAAAAGGATGATCACATGGCAGGGTCAGGGAAACACATGACAAGACAAGAAAACCTAAACAAGAAATAAAACCAGCGTGACACATGTGAACCGATCATCTCTTCCTCTTTACTAGTTATAGCACAAAATAAACATGACTGAACATCAGAAGGTATCTTGTTTCAACTGCAGAAAGACGTCAATATACATCATTTTCAAGTTCAAGTCCACCGACGATAATCTACTCTCCTGTCTGATTGTTTGTTGGACAAAATGGCAGATTCAGAGTTACGGTTGGTCAGATCACCTGTCAATAAAACTCCCGGTGAAGGGTCGGTTGCGTAGAGTATGTTTCTGGTGTAACACTGCGGCCATTGTTCCCTTTTCAGGTTCGTTGGTCAGGAGCCAACTCCATTTACATGCATACAGGAGCATGTGTGATGCATTGCATATCAAAAGCGAAGTATCCCATAATGTCTTATCACTACATCAAAGGATGTTTTCTCTAATTGCACATACTTTGCATTTAGTATTTGGTTTTTACAAATCTCCCATAAATGTCACAAATACTAAAAGTTAGTTCAATCATATCAAATAATCTGCATGTGCCCTTGTTACCAGTTAACCATTATCAAATCTGTGACAACATTAGTCTGCTGCACCACGACAGATGGAACGAACAGTTTGTTCCAGACAGGACCATTAAAAAAACGATGAAAAAGAGCCACCGTTACATTCCCATTATGCTTCTGTTATAGACAAAATTGTTGCAACGTTGCTTGTAAACACTCATAAAGCGAATATTCTGGGTTAAATACAACATAAACAGTGAACATGAAATCAAAATTGACCCTCTCTGCCTTAACACTTCTTAGTGTAAGCAAATCATTAGTGCACGTTATTTTAGGGGAAACATTTTTTTTGTCTTCTTAATCTTTCATCAAAATCTGCCTCTGAAACAACTTTTTTTTCAGCTGAAATCATCAGTTTTTCTTATTTGTTAACACCTTTCCTCCAACATCCTGTCAAACAGTGAAAACGTACATTAGTGGCATTCCATGGAATTCCCCAGTTTTCTATCAAAACCAATGCAAAAAGTGCAAAAATTAAATCAGCAGATTTACACTATTTCAACATGCTTAAATTGTTAATTTAAATAATTACACTTTTAAAATACTTTTTTTGTGTCAAACAACAGGTAAATATTTGTGACCCTGGACCACAAAACCAGTCATAAGGGTACATTTTTCGAAATTGAGATTTATACATAATCTGAAAGCGGAATAAATAAGCTTTCCAGTGATGTATGGTTTGTTAGGATAGGACAATATTTGTCCGAGATACAACTATTTGAAAATCTGGAATCTGAGGGTGCAAAAAAATC